ACATTTCTTTAAAAAAAAAAGAAAGTAACAAAAATCTGGGAATATAAGGCAGGCATTTCAAATTCTGAGAAAGGTCTAAGGTACTGATTTGTTTCATGGCAGATTCTCCTGGAATTAGGATTCCCCCCCCCCAAAATCAACACTGCTAATACAATAAAGTGTTGGAAGTGACTTCAATTTGTTTATTCATCTGTGCATGAGCCCAGAATCTCATCTCTGGTTCAAAATGAACTTTGCTACTAAAAATCCTGACTTTGCATATTAGCTCAATTAAGTGGCACATTCTGTAGCCAGATCATTACGGTGCCTCTGGTTTAATGACTGTCATCATTTGGCACCATTTTCAAGGGAGAGACTTGATAAAGTCCTAGTGTTTATAGTTAGGTTTGTAGATAGATGCTCCTTCTGTGCTTTGTGGGTGGGCTGATTGAAGCATCTCTCTATAATTCTCATAGCTTCAATAGACTTGTCAGGTAGTCAGAGAAAGATCATTAGTTCGACTAAAGAAGGGCATTGGCAGAGCACAGGAGTTATGTCGCCTCAGCAAGTCATATAAACTCTCCCCGAGCTTTTGTATTCTTCCCGTACAATCAAATAATATAGTATTTTCCTCCTAAGAATGTGCGAGAGTAATTTGACAAAAATATCCACACAGAATGCGGGATGATTCCTGCAAAAGTAAAGGGTCTAATTCACAGAAATTAATATTATTTTAAAATCAAAGCATGCTTAAAAATTTGGCCCATCCATCTTCCTTGCTCAGTAGTTAGGACATGCGGCCCTTATGAACTAGCTACACCTCTTCCTCTAAATCTCTGCACTTAACATTTAAGCAGCCTACCCTGAACATCTCCAAAGATATACTGTCCTCACAGTCACCCACATAAATAAACTTCAGATTTGGTTTTGTCTCCTTGGGGCTGTCAGACTTCTCCCAACTCACATCCAAAGTCAGGCAGAAACCCCTCTACAAAGCTGGAAGGTAAGGATAATTCCTGAGTGATGCTGTTGAATTCCTTCCTCCTTCCCCACCCAAGTCTTGACTTGATACTCAAGGCCCTTCATTTCCTTCTGCCTCATCTGCAGCCTGGCACCTTGTTCCCTAGCAACATCAAAGTCTCCTGGGCCTTCTCTGCTGTGTCGGTCGGAGAATGCCCCATCTACCTTAGAAGAATTAGATAAAGCTCACTGCTGTGAGCTATGTCTTTCACATGGGACCCACAAACTTGATGAAAGAAATCTCTATTTCATTAACCTTTTATTAAAATTAAGCATTTCCTTCAATTATGAATGTAGGCAATAAACCCCTGTCAGCAACAGCAATCTAATATCATCATGTCCCATTACAGTAAATATAGAAATCTCCAAATAGCACTGACATTTCACTAAGATGTCAGAACTATAATGGTGGGGCTGTATCTACCCCTGCCTTTTCATATGTTAAAAATGGGGTATTAATGTCATTATATAGCAAGTTTATTAATGGATGGATTTTAAGCTGGTTATTAGAGGTGCAGGTCTATAATCCAGAGGCTTAAGTAAGTCCTGCTAGTTTGAGGCTGACTTATGCATCCTAACAAGAATTTAGCTTGAAATAAAATTAGGAAGGGAAGGAAGGAAGGAAGGAAGGAAGGAAGGAAGGAAGGAAGGAAGGAAGGAAGGAAGGAAGGAAGGAA